TAGAAGTAAAGTAATAGCTGCATCAAACCCTGAATCAATATAATTGGAATGGTGTAAAAATTGAAATGAGGGGAAGTGTTGTTTTTTTGTTTTTGTTTTTATTCTATGGACTAAATGCCTCCAATCTTAATCTCCAAAACGTGCGAACAATTTAGCAGAGACTAGGATTTGACGTCGGAAAAATAAACAAGCAGTTAAACGATCATCTCTTCTCTCATTCCCACCATAACATTGAACATACTGATCTCAGTTACTTTTCAATTTGCTTGCAGTGCTCCCGAAAAGTTCTTAAAATTGTCGATTGCCTGCCGCTTAATCAAAAAAAACGTCCAGAACAATTTTCACAACACAGTTTTCTTTGAGCCACATGTAACCAGGTTGTTTTAAGTTTTTGCTTTTGTATGAATGAAAACGGTGAGGATGATGTGTCCGTAACCTCTTAACCAAGTGGTTGACTTGCACTAATTTAAAAATGGTCATCGGTTAGGAAAGAAAACCTAAACATGTGGCATGTTTTATTTGATGTTATGCAAAATTGTCAGTAGTGTACTAGCCTGAGTTGAGTTTTTAATGCAGTATGTGTGACAGCTTGTAAATACTTTGTGTACACTTTGAGATGGTATATTTACTACACTGTATATACATGTGATATTGTATCATTTTGTTTTTGTAAAGCAGTTAGGTTCTGTATAATAATATACAAATTGAGCTATTCCAGTGTTAGTAATAAAAATGTTTTGCTCTCCATAGCTTGAGCTTTTTAATTTCACTTGTTCATAATTAGAAAGATTGGTGGACCATACAGGAATTTGCGGTTTTACGTTCGGCCCAAACAGCCATCAACGGCCGGTGCCATACACAATACTACATGCCAATGTGCTCTCCAACGCTAGTGAGTTTTAGGCAATGTTTGACATCTCCTTCCACTGAGGTGAGCGTACACAAATTTAAGAGGCACAAACTCATGTCAACACATTGTTAGGAATATAAACCAGTCTTCATAGATCATTTGGTGCCGGGCCGCACAGAAAGAATAAATAACTCGTTTTATTAATTTCGGAATCGGATGTTTTATTTTGAAAATTTACCGGCTCTTCTGTTACATCCGTCTACAATATGTCACTCTTGACGCAGATAAAGGCGCGCTTCTCAGTCACGTGATAGGTTAATACAATACATACTGATTTAAACAGCGCTTTCACAACAGCTTCTGCTTTAACAAAGTTAAATAAAACTCAGGAGCTGGCGAAATGAATTTTAAAAAAAAAAACGTCTTTGAAAGTTTTTTTTCGGGAAGGGGAAAAGGCTCAGCCAGGAAACAAGAGGAGCCTACGACTTTCAAGAAAGAGAAGGCTGCATTTAATAGACAGTATCAGGAGTACTATTTCAAATACGGCTTTATCTCAACGGGAGATTCACACGCACTAAGCCTACTCTGCATAATAATCGGCAATGGTGAGTCTGAGTCGTATTATTCATGCACTTTTTATTTGTGTCGTGTCTTATTTTGAAGGCACGTTTAATCGTTACCATGGTAACCAGAGAACGTTGCGGTCAGATAGGAGTTCCTGGTGTCATGATTCGTGTTTATTATTATGTTTCGAAAATACCACACTTTTCATGCAGTTCATATCATATTATATCGTTGTATCTATCCGGCCTTAAAGGCCGGTCCCTGACATGAAACCGGTCCGTGGGGCAAAAAAGGTTGGGGACCACTGTTATAGATTGTTGCCACGGCCCCCTAAAAAATGGAGTGGGAGACAACATTAAGTTATGATTGTTTTAATTAAATCCTTACATATATTTCTGAGGTCTCAGGTTGCAGTTTATCATAATGATGTCGAACGATTGTACGTCCTGTTTGTTTTAGTCTGTGCGCAAGTTAATTTGACTGAATGCCCAATTGATTTTTTTTTAATTGGTAGATTAAAAATTGAACAGGCATGATCAGGAAAAAGGTTGCTTCACACTGGCATGTCGGAAATTGCTGCTCTGATTGATTCGGAAATTGCTGCTCTGATTGATTTCGTGTCTTCTTGGGTACAGATATTATTCATTAAGCAACATGGCCATTTTTATAAATAATTGGGGGGGGGTGATGATACTTTTAAACACTCCTCTTGATACTATTAAAAAAACTGCATCGCAATTTGCAGCATACAGCACATTGGCACTTGCACTCATTAACTTTCAGACATACCCATAATTCCCTCGGTTATCTGACCCATAGAACGCGTGGAAAAGCCCGGTTTAAGAAAGCACTCGGAAACGACGGCCACTCGCACCTTTTGAGCGGAGAGGACATCGTCAACACTCAAGCAGACTTGGAATGGTGAGTGCAAGTGCCAGTGTGCTGCATGCCGCAAATGGCGATGCAATGTAAGGCTATCCGCTCTCAGCCACGCTATTGAAATTGTAAAGCAAAAAACAAAACAAAACAAAAAAAAAACAATGGCGCTGTGTTTCGTTTCTGGAAAAGACTGATGTGGAAACGGTTGAATTCATGTTGAAAAGTGGTGTGTTCCAACGTCACTATTAAGTGATGAGTGTGGGGGGGGGTTTTTTCGGGTTTTTTTTCTCTTTATTACGTGTTTGTATCATTGAAGTCCGTTTTTTTCCGTATTGACAGATATGTGACACCTGGATGGCATCATTTTACTAATTGATTTCTGAAGGTAACGAGTTGCATCGCGGCTTCTAACAAATGCACTGCCCAAGTCAATTTTACATTTTCACGTCAAAGCTAGAATACTTTGTGCGGATCCAGCGAATAAAAAAATAGATGGGTCATTTCACTCGGTGTCTAACTTGTAGTTATATAACAAAATCTTGTTCAATAAAGATTGTTTAAAAATAAGTTATATAACAAAATGGCGTTAATATTTTTGCAAGGTACTTTATCAGGCAACAATTTTCCAGTGTTGACAAAGGACATTTAAAACTTCCATCTGAACTTCGGTTTTTTTCCCCATAACTTGTCCAGTTTTAACCTACTACCTTGAAATGTATTCATTTAATGTAGAATTTATTTGTGTTATGCTGCATGTATTTTGTGCCGTGTAATTGCCTATGATGTTGTTTTGTAAAAAAAAAAAAAAGCAACCTTTAAAAAGTGGAGTCACTTGTGGCTTGTTGAACGATTATAAACGTATCTGTCTGTCAAGGAAAAGCCCTCCGTTGCTGTAGAAATGACGTCTCCGACAATCAAATGGGTAACGTATGAACTTGAACTTTCCGTAACTTGAGATGAAGTCGAGACAAAAGGAGTTCTGTGTGCCACCCAGTGTGTGACCCACCAGTCTCAGCTCGGTATTCTTTCTGATTTACTTCATTTGTGGAATAAGAATTGAGCGGATTAAGCCATCAGTTTGTATTTATCGGGGCACTAATTGATTTTTGTCCTGTACCGCCCTCTGCTGTGGACTGAAATTGACCAAGTGACCTCAGGCTCGCAGGGCCCACGCTGTGGTGTCAATTATAGTCGGCAGCAGAGGGCGCTATAGGAAAAAAAAAACAAAACCTAATCCATTAACCGGCGTAAGGCTTCGTCCACAAACGTAATATGGATCAGACTACCCGCTGCATCCCAGTGGGAGCACATGGAATATTTTTTTGCCCTTGTATTTCCTCTTTTAACACCTCATGAGATTTAACAGGATCCAATAACATGTTCTCCCGCAGCTGGCGATCACACTCGCCCTCCTGCTTGCTGGTATGATCCGTTTTTAAGAAATCCGTCTGAGACCATCCCAGATGACTGGAGCGAAGCAGTGTTACTACCCCTTTTCAAGAAGGGAGACAAGAAACTGTGCGCCAACTACAGAGGCATTAGCCTTCTCGATGTGGCTGCAAAAGCATTTGTCGTCCTTCTGCTGAAACACTTCCAGATGGCCCGTGACCGCCGAACTCGCCCAACTCAGGGTGGCTTTCGCCCCGGGAGGGGATGTGTAGACCAGATCTTAAGCCTGCGTCGCACCCTGGAGCAACGATGGGCCTACCAACAACCGACAGTCGTGTGCTTCATCGACTTTGCCGCGGCATTCGATTCAGTTGACCGAGATGCTTTGTGGATGATTATGCCGGCTGACGGGATCCCTGTGAAACTGCTTCGGCTCATCCAGGGGTACTACCGGTCAACCCGAGTCCGAGTGCGGACCTACGGCAGCGAATCAGAAACCTTCAAGTTGCGGTCGGGTGTCCGACAAGGCTGCGCTCTCTCATCAACCTTGTTCAACTATGCCATCGATCACATTCTCAACACTGCTCTCCTTGGCTTTGAGGGTGTGAGAGTCGGCCGAGATGTCGCAGTGTCGGACCTGGCGTACGCAGATGATATCGCTCTACTTGGAAACACGTTCGAGGAAGTTGAAAACGCGCTGATGAAAATCCATCGAACGGCCCTGACTGTTGGAATGTGCATCAATGCCGCTAAGACCAAGATCATGTCCTCCCTCACCAACCCAGCTGACCAATGGTCGCTGTCACTGGAGGGCGTGACCCTGGAAAACGTCGATTCATTCACGTATCTCGGCTCCTCTGTGGTTCCATCGGGACAAGGAGAAGCAGAAGTCGCTCATCGCATCGGGGCCGCCAGATCCGCCTTCGTGCGCCTACAACGCCATCTGTGGGGTCGGCCCGAGATCTCGGCGGTGACAAAGGGGCGTGTCTACCAGGCGATCGTGCGGACCATCCTGCTTTATGGCTGTGAGACCTGGCCTATGAAAGTGGCTGACCAGCGCAAGCTAGAAGTCTTCGACAATGATTGCCTCCGCCGTATTCTCCGCCGCCGCCGATCGGACCGGGTCCCCACTGCTGACCTTCGCCGCTGCCTGCACCTTCGTCCCTTACCAGCGTTTCTCCTGCAACGCCGACTCCGTTGGTTCGGGCATGCGGCACGCCACCAGGAGGGCGAGTTGATCAGGGATGTTCTCCTTCCTGCTCCTTTGCCAGCCTAGCGCAAGCGGCGTGGTGGACAAGTCAAGACCTGGGCCACCACGATGAAAGAAGACCTCGCGTACCTTTCCGGCCCCCAGGTGGTGGGTCTGAGACGGTGGAACCAGGACTGGCTGAGGCTGTCGGTTGACCTGACACAGGATCGCCGCGCTTGGGCCGCCATGATCAGGGATGTCATGCGTGCCAAGGAAGAAGCCGGTTCAACCCGCCCAGGGTGAAGGCCGTTGCAAACAAAAAAAATTGCAAACAAAACTGCACCACGCAAGTGCTCTGTGATACACCCCATTTTAATATATGCATAAAACTGATCATTGTTTGTGCTTGCTTTTCTCGGGAATCGGGTACACGCAAGCAATGACCGTAAGCAGGAGACGCATTTTCTTTATTCTGAGTATACTGCTTAAAGCATAAGTCCCATGTGCTTGCTCCAGAGTGCTGGACTCAGTGGTTTGATCGAGACAACCCCTCCGGTCACGGAGATTTTGAAACTCTTTCCGAGCTGCACAAAGAAAACCCATCCAAAATCTGTGACCATCCAATTGAAATCGAGGTCCAAACTACATCTGGAGTCCGTGTTGGCTCAACAAACAATGTGAATAATGTGTAAGTGGGGATGCAAATGTTTTAAAATGATTTTTTTTTTTTTTAACATATGTTGGTTGTTTGATTGATTCTGATGGTTGTCTTTACAGGCTTGACATGCGCAGAGGATTTATTTGTAGAAATGTTGACCAGCTCGACGGGGGCTGTGCAGATTATAAAGTTCGCTTCTTGTGCCCCCTTAAATTCTGCAACCCAAAAGGTAATCTTGTGCAAAACTCACAACTGGGTGCATCTTTGAAAACGCTGCTGACTGCAAGAGTGGACATTAAACTTTTAGTTCGTCTCATGTCCCATGAATTTCTGCAAAGATCAGGATACTAAACTGAAATCAAATCTACATTTCAAGCAAATGTTTAGCAAATGACAAAAAAAGCAGAGTCTCCAACAGAGAAAGCTTTTATCTATTTCACAATTGCTCAATTCTCAGACACTGTCATATTTTATCCCTCAACCCTTGCTATGTACACTTGGCTACTCAAGGATGCTGGACTGCATGGTTTGATCGAGACAACCCCTCTGGTCATGGAGACTTTGAAACTCTTCTCGAGCTGCACAAAGAAAACCCATCCAAAATCTGTGACCATCCAATTCAAATTGAGGTCAAAACAACATCTGGAGCCAGTGTTGGCTCAACACACAATGTGATTCATGCGTAAGTACATGAAACTGATGCGTTGTTATTGCCAGATGACACTTTTTTTTAAATTAATTTTTTTCTCCACGGGTCTGACACGCTCATCGGCTTTGTTTGTAGAAATCGTGATCAGCCACCAAATGGTCTCTGTGCAGATTACAAAAGTTCGTTTTTTATGCCCCCTTGAATTCTGCAAACCTAAGATAAACAAAGGTAATATTTCACATCATGCATTCAAGTACATTTCGAGGTTCAGCCTATCATACGGAGTTCAAGAATTATACCCCCCCCCCCCACTTCTCCTTGCCTCAAATTGAATCCAAGGAAACTCCAAATGACACGTTCTGACTCTTCTCCTTGGGGATGTTCATTTCAGTATGCAGGACTCAGTGGTACAATCACGACAACCCTAGTGGAACGGGAGACTTTGAGCTACTTGAGAAACTTCGCGTCAAGAACCCAAATGAAATCTGCCCATTTCCACTTGACATTGAGGTCCAAACGGTCGCTGGAAACACTGGCTTCAACAGGGGACAAAAATGCTGTGTAAGAACAGTACGAGATCTTCCCCCGCAAATGCACTTCTTGACATTGAGGTCCAAACGGTCGCTGGAAACACTCTGGCTTCAACAGGGGATAACAATGCTGTGTAAGAACAGTATGAGATCTTCCCCCGCAAATGCACTAATGTCAAGCTCAATTGTTTCTTGCACGACACGTGCAAACAACATTGCGTACAAGTTGACCCGGTACTGCTCATAGTTTAATTACAGTGACTCCCCTTTTTTTTTTTTTAAGTGACTGATTTCCATTGCTCCTATGATGGTGACAAAGTTCTATTTCATCTCTCCAGATCAGACACAACTATTGGGTTCATCTGTCAAAATGCTGACCAGGAGGGTGGACGCTGTTCAGATTATAAACTTCGCTTCGTATGTCCCATTGATTTCTGTAATAGACGAGGGTAATCAAGTGAAATAAAGTTTTAAATAATCACAAGTTGTTCGTTTTTGGTCCCCCCTGCAGAGACAGAAAAATGTGAAAAGGCAATTAAGGAATCAATGTATTAGTTAGGGTGGCTAAGCGATAGGTAACATAAGCTTCACTTCTCGTGACGACAAGTTAGCGGCATTGTTAGTCCACGTGGAGCCTTTTGGTTGGTCAAAATGCCCCCACGTTCCAACCAGCAGCTGCTCAGTGTCAAAGTACAAATTCACTCTGTACAAATCTGTTTTAGTGAGGGGGCGGGGGTGCAAAAGTGACTTGTCTGTACAGCAAAAAATCATTTCTACAAGGTATGAATTGTTTCCACACAAAAACAAGTTTCATTTCGCTTCAACTACAAACTTATTTTCTTTTTCACACACATTCATTTGTGTAGCTAAAAAAATATATATTTTTTACAAATGCAGGTTAAATTCCGACACCTACAAGTTTTTTTTTTTTGATAAATACAGCCAAAATGTGACATTACCATGGTACAAGTTACTTTTGAACCACGTTTACCTCCATACGCTTCCAGCACCACTGTGTATTGAAGGTCAAATCACTTGCTGTATGTGTAAGACGGAGCCTCGTGTCCTTGGCGAACTGTTCAAGGGCAACTCGAAAATGCATATACAGACATAAAAAAATGAATGCAATTATTTTAATGGCTATAAGTTTGTGTGTGGTATGTACGGGAGATGAATTTCATTTGCCTGCCCTTTTTATGTTGCTTTTGACTCGTTGCACAGCTCCTGCTGCCCACCTCTATTCACGCACTCGCCAAGTCAAGCACATAACCTGATCGCTTTCTAAATTCCTTTTGACAAAATTCAGGCTGACTTGCAGAACATTTTACCTCTTAAAAGCCACAGACAGGCTTTCACATGCAAGCACATGCAAAAAATATATATATATCTTAACATAGGGGCACTTTGGGCATCAGGGGGCAAAAGGGCATGTGCCCCTCTGCATGCCCCTGCGCAAAATACGGAACACTTGGGAATTCCAGTAACATTGCTGGAAACACTTCTGCAAATTGTGGCATCCAGGGAAAATAGATTTTCAGGTGTGGAGCTGTCTATATGGTGGTTGAGGAAGGCTCATGCTGGTCTCCCAATTATGTTACTGGGTATCTGAAGAAATGGTGAAAAAGCACTTCATGCTGAATCGCCACAATTCAGGAATGCAGAGTTCTCAGTCCCTGAGCATGTTGGGCCCAACGTTCATGCTCAATGCAAATCTCGCGCTAAGCAGTCTTATTGTGTGCCCTGGTGGAGTTTTCTTCCTTTTGCTGTTTCCCGAGACTTCGCGCGGGTAGAGATGTGCATAAGCGGAATGAAACGTAGCCAACTCTCAACCAATCATAGTGGATGCTCTCGTCCATCCATCTGCTTATCCTCACGAAGGTCACGGGCGCGCTGGAGCCTATTCCAGCTGTCTTCGGGCAGCAGGTGGGGTACACCCTGAATTGGTTGCCAGCCAATCGCATGGCACACAGAGACAAACAACCACTCACGCTGACACTCACACCTAGGAACAATTTAGAGCGTTCCAGTAACCTGCCATGCATGTTTTTGGAATGTGGGAGGAAACCGGAGTACCCGGAGAAAACCCCACGCAGTCATGGGGAGAACATGCAAAGGAAGGCCGGAGCCGGAATCGAACTCTGCACCTCTGCACTGTGAGACGTGATGTGCTAACTGGATCCCCTCACTTGCATTAAAATCAGGGTGGTCTAAGGGCACGCAAGGCTTGACGTTACAAGAGCAGAAATAGACTCGCTGGGGTCCAGGCATGACATTGGCCCATGGAAAGCATATTTATCCAAACTGCAAGATCTCCCCTTGCAGATTTAATTGGCTGCACGTGTGACGTGGGCAATTGGAGACCGCCTTGCACCCACAACCGTGTGTCCGTGTGTGACCCCCTCATGGCCAAACCCTCATCCCCTAATAGTTGTGGTCGGAGGTATGCTATCAACATATTTTTGAGATGATAATGAGTAGAATTTATTAATTGAATTGATTTTTACAATGATTCAGAGGAATTGTCTCACACTGCCCCAATATTGATGAATGAGTATCACTTACTTTTTCCCCCATTTGCCACGGGGGTACGCTTGCACCACTCATCCAAAAATGACACATCGAAGGCGGCCATACTCAGGTGTGGAGTCGGCCTCCTCGCTGGATCTTAGGAGCTTTGTCTGTTTGTTCATCCATCCGTTTTCTGCTCCTCATATCCTCACGAGGGTCGCGCGTGTGTGCTGGATTTTTAAAAATCCATCTTTGATTTTTGTTACGCAGCCGTTTATCCAAAATTGACCTGCTTTGCCCACTCACAGCAACACGGCTGCATCTCTGGTGGCGAACGTGGTGATTTTGTGGAGGCTTCCAGCACCACTGTGTATTGAAGGTCAAATCACTTGCTGTATGTGTAAGACGGAGCCTCGTGTCCTTGGCGAACTGTTCAAGGGCAACTCGAAAATGCATATACAGACATAAAAAAATGAATTCAATTATTTTAATGGCTATAAGTTTGTGTGTGGTATGTACGGGAGATGAATTTCATTTGCCTGCCCTTTTTATGTTGCTTTTGACTCGTTGCACAGCTCCTGCTGCCCACCTCTATTCACGCACTCGCCAAGTCAAGCACATAACTTGATCGCTTTCTAAATTCCTTTTGACAAAATTCAGGCTGACTTGCAGAACATTTTACCTCTTAAAAGCCACAGACAGGCTTTCACATGCAAGCACATGCAAAAAATATATATATATCTTAACATAGGGGCACTTTGGGCATCAGGGGGCAAAAGGGCATGTGCCCCTCTGCATGCCCCTGCGCAAAATACGGAACACTTGGGAATTCCAGTAACATTGCTGGAAACACTTCTGCAAATTGTGGCATCCAGGGAAAATAGATTTTCAGGTGTGGAGCTGTCTATATGGTGGTTGAGGAAGGCTCATGCGGGTCTCCCAATTATGTTACTGGGTATCTGAAGAAATGGTGAAAAAGCACTTCATGCTGAATCGCCACAATTCAGGAATGCAGAGTTGTCAGTCCCTGAGCATGTTGGGCCCAACGTTCATGCTCAATGCAAATCTCGCGCTAAGCAGTCTTATTGTGTGCCCTGGTGGAGTTTTCTTCCTTTTGCTGTTTCCCGAGACTTCGCGCGGGTAGAGATGTGCATAAGCGGAATGAAACGTAGCCAACTCTCAACCAATCATAGTGGATGCTCTCGTCCATCCATCTGCTTATCCTCACGAAGGTCACGGGCGCGCTGGAGCCTATTCCAGCTGTCTTCGGGCAGCAGGTGGGGTACACCCTGAATTGGTTGCCAGCCAATCGCATGGCACACAGAGACAAACAACCACTCACGCTGACACTCACATCTAGGAACAATTTAGAGCGTTCCAGTAACCTGCCATGCATGTTTTTGGAATGTGGGAGGAAACCGGAGTACCCGGAGAAAACCCCACGCAGTCATGGGGAGAACATGCAAAGGAAGGCCGGAGCCGGAATCGAACTCTGCACCTCTGCACTGTGAGACGTGATGTGCTAACTGGATCCCCTCACTTGCATTAAAATCAGGGTGGTCTAAGGGCACGCAAGGCTTGACGTTACAAGAGCAGAAATAGACTCGCTGGGGTCCAGGCATGACATTGGCCCATGGAAAGCATATTTATCCAAACTGCAAGATCTCCCCTTACAGATTTAATTGGCTGCACGTGTGACGTGGGCAATTGGAGACCGCCTTGCACCCACAACCGTGTGTCCGTGTGTGACCCCCTCATGGCCAAACCCTCATCCCCTAATAGTTGTGGTCGGAGGTATGCTATCAACATATTTTTGAGATGATAATGAGTAGAATTTATTAATTGAATTGATTTTTACAATGATTCAGAGGAATTGTCTCACACTGCCCCAATATTGATGAATGAGTATCACTTACTTTTTCCCCCATTTGCCACGGGGGTACGCTTGCACCACTCATCCAAAAATGACACATCGAAGGCGGCCATACTCAGGTGTGGAGTCGGCCTCCTCGCTGGATCTTAGGAGCTTTGTCTGTTTGTTCATCCATCCGTTTTCTGCTCCTCATATCCTCACGAGGGTCGCGCGTGTGTGCTGGATTTTTAAAAATCCATCTTTGATTTTTGTTACGCAGCCGTTTATCCAAAATTGACCTGCTTTGCCCACTCACAGCAACACGGCTGCATCTCTGGTGGCGAACGTGGTGATTTTGTGGAGGTGATAATTTTTTTGCTCATACAGTAGGAGCTCCCATTTGCTGTCAATAAATCCAAAATAGCGTGCAGATATCTTTTATATTTTCACAGGTTGAAGAAGACAAGAGTAGGAATGTACATCTGAATTTTGGTAATGATTGGTCACCCTTTCAAACACTGACAACAAAACGGGACAAACCAAGGTTGGGGAAAAAAAAGCTTTGCACCAAATGGGGGCGTGCCAATCTCGAGTCCAGGGGTCACCAACCTTTTTGAGAGTGAGAGCTACTTCATGTGTCCTGATTGTGTGAAGGGCTACCAAATTGATACACGTCTGAAATAACATTTGTACAAATTACATTTCATAATATTAGAATGTGTTATTTTTAATACTTAATGATTTTAATTTTCAGGCTCTGATCATCTTCAAGATGTCTCACAATACTGCCCATGTTTGCATTTTTAAATCATCATTTCTACGAGCAAATCACAATCCTAGCACTGGCCGGCTGTTGGTGTGGTCCACACGGGCTACCTGGTGCCTGCGGGCACCACGTTGATGACCCTTGCTTTAGTCTTAAGCCATCACAAAAAAAGCCCCGAAATCATCAGATTCTTTTATGGGGGTAAATGTTAGTGCTGAGATAATTATGAAAAACTGTTATATAAGTGACAGTGTTCAGTGTTGCCTCGGCAACGCGCAGCTGTCTGGTAGTGAACCGATCCGCTCCCCTTGCCATTTTGGATATTTTTTAGGGCCCAGAGAGGCGCGGATTAAAAGTAAGAGCTGAAAAAAATCACCGCGCTCACTCGCGATGTCAGGAAATTAACGGTTACCGCCCCGCGTGGTCCCGCTGTCGCTGCGCGAAGCAAAAAAGGGCCCAGAGTGCCGGGATTTGAAAGCAAAGCCTGAAAAACTTCGCCGTATAGCTCCCGTTGTCTGTCAAACGTTGCCTCGGCAACGCGCAGCTGTCTGGAAGTGTCCCGATCCGCTCCCCTTGCCGTTTTGCATTTTTTTTGTAGGGCCCAGAGAGGCGCGGATTAAAAGTAAGAGTTGAGAAAAGTCACCGCGCACACTCG